CAGTGCGGGACGCCGCGAAGGGCTGAGGGCTCTGTTCTTCTCGCAGGCTGATCTTCGGCACCCTCTACCCCGCGTACTCCTCCTACAAGGCCGTGAAGACGAAAAACGTGAAGGAATATGTGAGTACGGGTTCTCCGTGCTGGCGCAGCGCCCGCCCTGTCTCTCGCGGCCGCCCCGCAAGCCCCCCGCCTGGCCCTGAGGCGGCGGTGCTCCGGCTCTGCAGGGACTACCAGGCCGCCTGAGAAGCAGCCCCGAGAGCCCCTGGAGAAGTTGCCGAGGAAGGGCACTTACTAAAATGGGAGGTTTCAAACCGTAAACGTGCGTTGTTTTTTCTCAGGACATGTTGAATGAGGAAGGGAAGAGGGGGGAGACGCTGCGGCCTGGAAGCATCTGAAATTCCAGGACAAGTTCTTTCCTCTGTCTTACTCTGTGTACTTCTACTGCTTTTTCAGTACTACTATTGTTTTCTTTCAAAAGGCTGAGTAGTTTTGCTTGGTTTGTGGCTTCCTATCAGCATTGCTTGTCATCAGTGTTTTTTGTTGGTCAAGACTTCCTCCTCCGTCCTTTCTGGAATTGTTCTGCTTTCTCCGTCTACACCATTGTTACAATTCCCATATGTAAAACAAGAGATGCTTTTTATGATGTGATGTGTTGTCTTCTTACAGAGCGAGTGTCCTAAGTTGATCAGTGGAGACAAGAGCTATTTGACTTATGGTTGGGATAAGTTTCTGTTTATCTAGATTGAGGAATAACCTGATGGAGAAGAGATGTGACATGGGTGAATAGGATACAATTTGTCAATATTGTTTTGTGGTGCAGGCTGAGACTCTTCATCCAACTGTCTCTGCTCCTTACAAAATGACATGTCAGCAATGTTGCAGGACATAGTCCTTTTTTGTCTCGTGCTGCTTCTAGTCCTCTAGAATTGCCTACACCTTTCCTATGTGTTGGTTTAAAATTCAACTCACTGGTTTTTGAAGGATATGCCAGCTGAGGTGAGTGTCTCACTCATAGTGGACAGCTTGACAAACCACAACATGTGTCTGAGGTGTTTTGGGGTTTTTTTCAATACTGATCACAGTGGAGAAGGGGAAATGTGCATGTTCAGGAGGCATTGATAACTGATACAGTGTTTTGACTGAGTATTAGAGATACAGTCAGAAATATGATGAGCCTTACTAAACTTTGAAGTTTATTAGGAACAGCATTAGAAACTGAAAAGAAAGCATGAAAAACTATCTGAATAATTGCACGATCCTGTGACTTCATAGTTATCTTTGAAGTAGCATTGTATTACTGTTGTATTCTCTGGCCTTCCTCTCCTCTTCCCTTCAAGTTGCCTATGACCTTCATTTGTTGCATGAAATGCATATATTTTTTTACCTGGAATTCTATTCTGGCTCATGAGTGTCTGTCACAGAATGATTGTGTTCCAGTTACAGCATCTGTGTTAACTTCAAGACAGACTCAGATTTTGAATTGTTTTGTTGAGAACTTGAGAGGGGAAAAAAACCCCAAGAAATCCTCATTTTTTGAAACAGCCTATAGCATGCTTGTTCTGGAGCTCAAACACCTGGTAAATACGGAGACTTTGAATTTGTAGGCATTCTTTACAGTAAAAACTTGCTTATTTTCTGTGGGTAGGTTAGCTGTTGAGGTATATAGGTGCTGTGTTTCATTGCAGAATGTAAACATCCTATTGATCTAATTTTCTTTTGGTAGATGTTACCTGAATTGCTGTAAGACTTCCCTAATCTGATGATAAAAAAGAAATGAGATGCAGTACTTGAGTATCATAAAGTTGTCTCAACAATAGTGTCAACTAATCAGCTAGTTGTAAGCCCCACGAGGGCTGATGTGGAAAAGTATGGCATTAATTTTGGGGTTTTGTTTAATGCTTCATTGATAGTTTTGTTGAAGTAGTTAGTTCTGGATTGCTGGAGCAGAAAGTTTTCTCTTGTTTTTATTTTCAGTGAAAACACTGGAGTTGATTTGAGAAAAGGTATTTGGAGTGCTGAAACTGAACTTAAATATCAATTATTTCTCCTTGAAAGGACCACATCAGAAATAAGCATTTAAATGTTGGACTGCCGTCTGCCTAATTCACTTTGCAGGGCTTCTTCCTTGTCAGTATAAGTGGAAAGATGGGGAAAACCCGATTTTGTTAAACACAGGAAAGGGACCCAATATCTGTTCAAACTGTTCTTCATGTGAAAAGCCAGTGGAAAACTTGAGTGCTGTGCTGCACATTTTCAAAGCCAGCTGTGTCTATGTACTGCTACTTCCTCACAGTGCTTAAGAACCAGCATTGGTGGGGAGGAAGATCTTACAGGTTTCTCTGTGCTAGAGAGTGTGGTGTATTGAAGGCTGGGTTGACACAGGCCAAGCTACCACAAGCAGTCCATCAATGGCATCGGAGTACAGTGCAAACTTACTTACTTACATGATATAAATTTAGGATAAGTCCTTGAGCAGCTGTGGCAAACTGCTTCTAGTAGCTCAGACTGTTTTAAAAGTAATTTCTTTCTTTTTGCATGTTGTCTTCAGCTTGGTCAAATCTACCTTCCAATTATGCTTTTGCATTTACTGAATTTATTTAGGTTCTTGGTGCAAGTTGCGGAGACTACATATGTGTTAGCTGAAGCTGGTGGTCATCAACTTGAGCAGCAAAGACCTGACTCCTTTTTAATAGACTGAAAAAAAAAAAATAGCCTGGTTTGACCCTCAGGTTTTTTTTGTGGGTTACAAATGTCATAAGGAAAAAAAACCCAGTGATTTTTCTCCTTTGCTTTCTGCTCTTCTAGTTTCTGATCATCTGCACTTCAGGGACTTCTAGAGCTAGAAGTTGGAACTTTCTAGTTTATTTAAGAGTTAATATTTCTTTTTGTCTTTGGCTGTAGTGTGTAGTGTGGCAGGAGGAGATAGGGCAAGAGACCTGTGACCAGTATCAAAGATGTGAATACACAGTTTATTTAAACAGTAACAAAGCAATGTGTTCTGTTCTTCTAATACTCCTGAGCATTCTGTTAGCAGAATGAAAAAGTCTAATGAGCACTGAACTTACGGTTTCATCAAACTGTCTACAGTGACCACTCCTGAGTGGGTTGAGCTACTTTATGTAAACACAATAGTTTTCCTTAAGAAAAAGCAGATACTGTAAGTTCATTACTTGGTGTTTAATGACATTTAAGGACAGAATGTCAACTGGAGATCAATCGGTATAGGTCCCTTTTCTGAATTCTTTAATCAACTCATAGCTAATCCCCTGGATAGAAAAGTATCTTCTGCACATTTTGTTATCGTGTTATTCGCAACCTTTTCAAGACCTTTCATGAGGATGAGCAGCGCAGATCTCAACACCGATTCCTGTGGAATTCCACTGGTAACTTTCCTCTTTATGAAAAATGGCCATTTATTTTTATCCTTTGTTTCCTCTCTTTTAGCCAATTGTTAATTCTCAAGAGTCCCTTCCTTTTAATACTTGACAATTTAGTTTCTTTGAGTGTTTTTTGGCCTGTTGGAAACTTTACTGTAGAAAGTCCATACACCCTGCCTGTAAGGGAAGCACTATAGCAAGAGCTTATGCAACCTTCTAAGAATTCTGCTACATTTGTGACGCTCATTTTTTTTTTTGGCAAAAAACATATTCCTCATTATGTTTTTTATATATATCTCTCTATGTATCTGCTAATTGCTTTAATTATTATTGCTTTAATTTTGCCTAATATGAAGTAAGATTTACGGGTATATATCTTCTTTGAAATCTCTTGCCCATTGTCATTCCTGTTTACCATCTTTGATTTGTCACTATTCACACTTTCATACAAGAGATGATTTTTGTTGTTGCATTGAAGAGTTGACTTCTAAAGCAAGTCTATGAAACACATGGTTAAGTGAATGACTCCTGGTCCTGTCCAAACTGATGATATGAGGAAAAAAAAACACCCACAAGCTAGAGAGCGCGATAAATACAGGTTTTGCTACTTTCTGTTGTGAAAAAATTGCACAGTAAGATGGAAATAATTTGGGCTACTAACCACTATCTTTGAAACCAAACACTGTGTTAGAGGGGTTGGAGGCAGTATAATTTTACTGGGTTTTTTTAGAAAGTTTTGGAGGATCTTTCAAGAGCAGATCACCAATTTTTCCAACACATGCAAGTTTGTGGAAATACCTGCTTTTGTAACTTTACTTGCTTGTAACAAAGACTGCCACTAAACTGTTCATGTAATTTTAATATATGGATTAATGTGTGGATTTAATATATGGAATTTTCTTGAATCAGTTTAGTTCTTTTCAATTCTTGATGACACTAAGAGTGTTAAATTGCTTGTAACAAAGGTGACCTCTTCTTTCCATTTACCTGCTACTTACATTTATTTTTACTTCTTAACAGCATGGAAAACTGGCAATTTCCCTTGTAAGATATTGACTGTTCTGCTATTGAAAATTTTTGGGTAGCAGGGGTTTTTTTTTTATATAATCCAGCTGATTCCTCTTTAGGAATAATTGGCCTGCAACTGAGAGACTTGTTACTAAAACAGCAGAGTGTGTGTGTGTGTTAGGGGAGAATTATTTTATGTTTGCTTTGGAAGAAATACCTACTGGTCCAGAGAAAGGTGTGAGGAAGTAGGGAGATAGAAAATAGCTGTGCAGATGTGCCATAATAGCACAAAGCATACTTTGTAAACTGTACTCAAGACCTTGGAAAAGAAGATAAGGTTGATGCAGCATGTTCTTCACTTTCCTACCTCTCTTACTGAGCTTTTATTTAAAATGGAGACATGCTCATTTAATTTCTGGGACTAATGATTAAGGCAAAGAATGCTTATTGATGAGTTCTAGCAAAATACTATATCTGTTGGTTTGGTGGGTTTTTTTCTTCCCAAGGAAAAAAAAAAACAAAACTTTAAATCAAGAAAATACAGGGCTACAGTTGAAACTAAGAAGTTATAGTCTTTCATGTATCATTGTTATTGTAATAGATATACACACACATCTGCAAAAGTTTAAAGTGAACTGCTTACTCCTTTTAGATAACTTATTTGGGACTTTAACACTGTTGCTTCATGATATTGCTACAGGGCACACATTCATCAGTGTATCTGTATGCATTTATCTATTTAGAGCACATTAATCCTACATGTTTTCCCAAACTATAATGTACCATTTGGTACGTGACCCTTTCCATTACTGATTATATATGCGTTCTTGTTGTTGAATTCATCTTAATGTGTGGAGATGAGGGGTCATTTTTACTGAGAAGACATGTTGTTTTTTTCTGGATTCTGTGGATGTCTATTGAGTCACTTCTCTTTTGCAGGTGAAGTGGATGATGTACTGGATTGTGTTTGCCTTCTTCACCACTGCAGAAACACTCACAGACATTGTTCTTTCTTGGTGAGTTCCTTGGTGGCATGTTTTGTTTTGTTTTTTTTAAAGAAGGAGGGTAGTGTTAGGATGCTAAGAATAAACTGTCTCTCCTCTCAGAGTTTTCAATCTCTATGAAAATTCTGCAGGTTTGTAGATGCTGTGGGTAGCAGCTGCTGTTTTAGCTGTTTCATCTCCTATACTTGCAAATAGTTAGGATAGACACACAGTATCTGTAGGAAGATCTTCATCCATTCATAACATAAAATATTTTTGAGAAGCTGTTAATGTGAACCGGTAAAGTTTGAGAAATGGTGGTCTAAAAGACACTTAAAAAAGATGGTAGAATGAAGGTACCTGCTTTGCTTTGTGAGCCTGTTGTGTGGAGGAGCAGATCAGATGCATGTCTGTGCTCTGAGTGGTGGTTTGCATCATGAAATTCTTTTCCACTGGTGGGGGTTGGTGGAGTGCAGTCAGGGGAAGCAGTCTCTTAATCCTTTCAGTGCTGTGTGTCATGCTTGGCAATATGGAGGCCTCCAAAAATGACAAGTCATTGTTACATGTCTTCAGCTGAACCTTTGGAACAGAATATCTTTAGTGTTCGAGCTTTGCATACATCCCTGAAAGAATACTAGTCAAAAGTTGCATCTTTCAAAGAAACATGAAATGGCTACACGTGCCTTGCGAAAGTGCTCAGCATTTTTGCCTCTTGCTGCATAAACTTTGAAAAGCAAAGATCTAAAAAGAGCTTTGACTTGCTCACATACTTAAGACGGACTACTGAAAACAGAAGTCTCTTACTACTAATAGAGACAGTAGAAAGTTTGCATTTGCTTGTTTCAGTCTCTGCTTCTGTATCTTCCCAGAGACGTTATTGGGTAGGGGTTAGAGATGAAAGACTTACATGCTGCTTGCTTTTTTTCATTTACACTGATACTCCTTTTGTGTCTTATTTGAGGAGTAGCTACTGGAAGTTTCAGAAACTAAGCCATCAGCCTTAGCAGGAACTTGAGATTTATTGAGATGCGTAGTTAAAAACTTTGGAAGATGAGAGGGAAACTAATGTAATATCAACATCCAGTCGATACTCTGAACAAACTTCAGAATGGTGAGGGTAGCTATCAGATTGTAATTTGGTGTGTTTGCAGGGCTGAGAGATGCCCTGTTTATGGAGTTTTCATGGCTATGGATGAAAGACTAAATGAGACTCAAAGAAGGTATGTCCTAGGATTCCAAAGAGGGTTCTGCTATTCTGACTTGATATATCAGTTCTTTTGTTTCTGAGCCTTTATCTTGCCTTTGCTCTTCCTGCCTATGCTGCTCTCTGCCAGTTATCTCCAGCTGTCTCTGTGCTGATCTTGATTCCCATTCTCCATCTTTCTCTCTCTCTCTCTCTTTTTTTTTTTCTTCCCTCTTTCTCTCAGGTTTCCCTTTTATTTCGAGCTGAAAATTGCATTTGTGATTTGGCTGCTTTCCCCTTACACCAAGGGCTCCAGTGTCCTCTACAGGAAGTTTGTGCACCCAACGCTCTCCAATAAGGAGAAGGTACTTGCTTGTTGTTAGAAGATGCTGACTGACTTCTGATTCAGTTATGCTGCAATAAAAACTGAAATGCGTGAATCATGCTTGTGCTGACATTAGTGGATGTAGAATGATTCTGTCTCTGACAACGATGTCATACTGCAGCTTACTGAAGATTGTAATGTAGCCAGTAGTTTGCCTAATTGCTTAGAAAGCATGTTTGGCTAACCCAGTGTCATGAGCCCTTATAGTCACTGTCAGTAGTTAAGCTTTTTGAATCACGATAGGAGCAGCATGTTCTGTAGCCATGCTGGGTTTTTTTGCATTGTCAGTATAAGCACCTGCTTTGTTTCAGTTGTTACAATTTGAAGATAGCATGTTTTAAGTAAAAGTTGCATTTGCAAGCTTTCTGTAAGTAGCAAGGAAACTGCAGTTACATGATCAATGACAGCTGATGCTGGTAGCCTGGCAAAAAACATCCAGATGAGCTTTGGGTTTTTAAGGGTGATGGTGGGAAGACTTTGATCATGTTTGTAATGAGGACCTAAATGCCATGTTCCACATTGCCTTCCTAGGAAATTGATGAATACATTACTCAGGCTCGTGACAAGAGCTATGAAACCATGATGCGAGTTGGCAAGAGAGGGTTAAACCTTGCTGCCAATGCAGCAGTTACTGCAGCTGCAAAGGTAATGCAACACCTTCTGTAATATTCAGGAATTCCCCAGCAGTTAAGTTTTTCATGTCAGCAATTAGTGCTATGGGTCTGTTAGGGAAGCTGGTACTTGTTGGCACCAATCTACTTTTCCTTTCCTCCAGTTTGCCTTGCAGTTAATCCCACCCTTTGACTTACAAAAAGTGGAGGGGGAGTGGAATGGATTTTGCTTTAACCTCTTCCCTGTTGGTCTTGGGAGCATACTTTGTTTTTTCTGTCCTTTGTTTTTTTCAGAGTACCCTAGTGGGGAATAGGGCAACTTTCCTCCTCTTCTGAATGATCCCATGTGAGATTATCTTGGTGAAGGCAAAGTGCCCTTGACCCTAATTTTTATGTCCTCTTAGGGCCAGGGAGTTTTGTCTGAGAAGCTGCGAAGTTTCAGCATGCAGGATCTCACTCTGATCCGAGATGAAGATACTGTGCATATGCGAAGCCATGAGCCACAGCTGCACCCCTCTGGTGGGAGTCTTCTTGAAACCATTGAGGATTCAGGTACGAAACACCCCTGCTGGGCCGTTGTGTGAGGCCTCACGTGGTAGGCCACGAGGGGAGGAGGGGTTCCCTGGGCTTTTCATGCATTGGGTCTCAGAAGGACTACAAGATTCCAAATTATCTGGGAGAAGTTGTGTTGTCTTCCCTAGTCCATTCCCATCTACTAACACACCTCTGTACTTTTTGGATTATCCTTCTTAAGGATTGTGGACATCTCCCTTTCATGTGGTCCTTTAGGATGGGCCATTTTAGATTTCATGTGATTTTTTTCAAAAGTATTTGCTAAAACTTTCTCTCTTTTTCCTTAGCTTCCTGTTACTCCTCAGGAGAGGAGAGCAGTGTGGCACAAAGATCTAATGGAACCCCAACGGAGACTAGAACAGACCCATCAGATGAAGATGCAGGAGACAAACTTCCTAAACGCACCCAGAGTCTCAAAACTCCTAAGAAGATGATGAAAGCTGAGGTAAGCTGATGTGTAAATTATTTCCAGCACAGACATTGATTTGTGAGCTTTGTTGGAAGGCTCTGGCTTCATATTCTTGGTGCATTTAAAAGCTGTTTTTATAAGCTTTGTCGAACCAAGTCTTTGCTAGTTGAATCCTACATCAGAGGCCTTGCCATCTACTTGCCATACTAGTCTCTATCTTTTGCATTTTTTTTGTGCCTGTAAGCCTCTCATAAGCCAGAAGCCAGCTGTGCTTTCATTCAGGTTTGGTGTTGATGGGTGGGGTATTAGATATTTTTAACATGTTTTGTTGACTGTATCCTCTCTCTTGTCTGTTACAGTCTGAATATATAATACTACTGTGACCTTTATCCATGGGACAGCCACATTCTCCTCATCTAAAATGCAGTGGTTCTGTACCCTCTTAGGCCTTCCTGGACTCTTCTGCATATTAGATATGGGGAAAATGTAGTATCTCCCTCCACACCACTCCCCACTCCTCTGCTCCCCTCCACCCTGGGGTTTTGTCTTGACGTTTGGGTAACTAGTCATTGTTGAGCTGTCCCTTCCATATGACCATGTGATCCAAGATATTTACAGCCATTCATGTGGGATGAGTCGCCTGTGTTCTTACTATTTAAACAAACCATACACAAAAATAAGTCCAGTGGTGTCCAAGAGCCATTTTAGCTTAACTGTCTTTTTTTTTTTTCAGCTATTGATTTGTTTTGTACAATATGCTTTCTGAGGTGCTGCTTTCCAGGTGTTGACTCTTGCTTGAACGTTTCTTGCGGTTTGATTTATACGTGATAAAACACTTCTCCCTTTTCGTGAAGTAGGGGTCCTATTTGCTTGATTCAAGTTGTTGTCCTAATTTTATTTAAGATAAAGAGTGCTATATGACTGGCTCACATTGTTGAGCTTTTCAGGCTAAACATGAAATAATTTGGAGGAAAGTAATTGCTTACAGCATCATTTTAAGTCATACTATTAATCTGATTTTACAGTGGAGAGGACACCTTTGCATGTGATTAAGTACTCTTTGTAACAGAATCACGGAGTAGTTGAGGTTGGAGGGGACCACTGGAGATCACCTGGTCCAACCCCACTGCTCAGCAATGCCATCTAGAGCTATTTTTCCAGGACCATGTCCAGATGGCTGTATGTCTAAAAATGCATTTAAAATCAGCCAGGATCTTTTTTAAATTCCCAAGGTTTACTTCTGAGTTGACCGCTCTGCTTTCTTCTCTAGCATATTAGACAGGAGCAGGGAAGCAAGAGGAACAAAATTCGATTCCAAGCTTCCTAGTGAGGAATTTTTAAAGTGAAATCATGAAAAGACAGTAACAACTCTTCTATGCTGTTTATTGTGAATACAGAAATTCCACTAAAACCCTTTGCAGGCATTTTGGTTTTTATGCTCGGTCTGTTTGGATCCTTGGTTGAGGTGTAGGAATTGTAGGAGGCTGAAATCTCTGAGATTGCCCAGAAGGGCTGAATGCATCATAGATCATAAATTCAATCTTCATGCCAATATTTAGAATAAAAGACACTGGAGTAAAGTGTGCAAACTAGTTCAAGATGTTTCTACATCTTTCAGAGAACAGTATTTGGGATGGCAGTCAAGAAGCAGAGAAGTTATAGCAGTGAAGTGTTATGTGAATGTTAGCAGTTAGAAATATCGCTATATCTAATCTTTTGAGACAGCTGACTTTGATTTTTATTATCACACTTGTCCTGTTTTAGAATGTCGTTTTCTCCTGGTTGCTATTTGATGGATATGCTTAAAGTGGTTTTTTACTAACCAAAACAAACTGGGTGACATGAATAGGGTCATCGTGTTGTAGTTGTTTTGTCCTGTTTTCACTCTGCATGCTTGTACTTTATCACCTAAATGTCTAACAGAAAGATAAACTAGCCTAAGATGCTTCTTTTTCTTTCTTCTCAGCTTCCAGTGAGAAGTGTGAAAGCCCGCCCTAAGAAGAAAGCTGCAGGCTCTTTTGCTTCTGGCGAGTCCTCGTAAGAAGACCTCCCCCTCCCCAGCACCTGTATCTGTCCCAGGATTTGCCTGTCACTTTTGAGGGGAAACTCCCCAAAGGAAGGGAGCTGAGATTCATGTACATAACAGATACTGCTTTGTAGAGCTCATTCCAAGGCAAGGGGGAGGCTGGGATTCAGAAAATGGAGTAGAGGATACACATCCTCAGGAATGTTCTCCTTTTCATCTCTGTGTTGGAGGGAATGCTGGTATGTCTGTACATAGCCTGTTGCTTTGGAATTCCCACTGTATAACCCTAGTTGGGGAGAATCTTTGCGGGAAGAACTGACTAGGGTTAGAGACATCCATTGCACAGAAGCTGGAAAAATACTAGACACTGGAGTTCCACAGGGGTGGGTGGCTCCCTAAAATGTCTTATCTTGCTCTGGGTATTCTTCTGCAGCTGTGTGTTGTTAAGAAGTGCCCACCATGATTCATCCTCCTTAAGAATGAACCATACCTGTCACGTCCATCCCCTTTGAGAAGGTGACTGAAATGATGTATGCTGGGTGCTTTTGAACATAAAGGACTAGCTCATGGGAGAAGTATGCTAGATTCCCATTACTGGTACTGGAAGATGAAGAGGTTGTTTTATATTTTATTTTTTCTGGAAGGTGAAGGGAGATAACTGAAAAACTGAGTAATGAAGAAAAGATGCTGTTATAGGCACATGTGATGGAGTAGGTACAGGTATCTGCAAGAGTTAACTATTGAGAACAAAAGTTGGGCATCTATAAGATTTTGGCTCTTTTTGAAGCTGCTTGAATTTTGTTTCAGGTTCTGGTGTTCACTTTGATTCCTGTGAGAGCATCAGAGTGAGGAAAGTCCCATGAAAAATTGGCAGGCAGACTGTTCCTTTGCCATTTAGTGGTTGAACATGTTATCCTGATGCTTGTTACTATCGTCAAATTCTTTCTTTCTAGCAGATAACTGGGGAAGATCTGGCTCAATATACTCTGCGGGCCTACTTGAGAATTTCATAAGCCCTTATCTCTTAGCTTTAGGAGAGCCAGTCCTCAAGGCATGAGAAAGCCTAAATAGCTGATGTATGATTTTTGCTAATTCCAGGATTCTGTTTAGCTGTGATAAAAAGCAGGGAGTAGGGCACAATACTGTGATTAATCAGTCCTCTTGTTTTATCCTGCTGCAGCCCTTGCACAAATTTTCTGTCTGACCATGCGCCATGTTTATTGATGTCCTGAGACTTGAGCAATATGTAACACTTGGGACAGAACTACATTGAATGTAGAACATGTGTCGTGGGAGTGAAATGGCAGTGCTGCAGAGAAAATTTGCATCGTGTCAAGCCATACTGTATTCTAATCTGTTGAACATTGTTAAGGGGAGATCCCCCGTAAACATGCCAACAGAGTCAATGGGAATTTGAGATGAGTGGGGGTCCTGCTGTTGGGATCTATTAATGAGGGAGCACCATTATAGACATGGTTGTCTGAATGAATACTTGGTGGTCTTAATCTTTACTGAAATAAGTTATCAAAGGAACCTGGATCCTCCTTCCCTGCTGAAGACCATTCTTGGCTCTAGGTGCAGGCATTTGTGTTTGCCTGCATCTTCTGCTGTCACATTTCTGAAATTATGGTGGATTCTTCACAGAGCCCCATATTTTGCTGTTGACAATGTGTAGAACCACTTCTGCACATAATGTTCCACAAGTATTTCTGTCTCAAAGAATAGCCCTTCAAAAGTTTGTAAAGTTGAAGATTAAGACTGAATTTTTTCTTGTTTTGCATTGTCTTGGTGGCAAATTGTTATGAATTAACTAGTTATTTTAGAAAACCAATTAAGTTGCTTTTACTTTTTATTTATAGCTTTTAAAAATTGAAGTCTAGATAGACCATGCCAGAAACTTACATCTTGTCAGAAATACTTGTCCTAAGTTATCCACAAGATCTTATCCAGAAGCCAGCAGACAATCCTTGATCTGGCTTTGAGTTTAACAAAAAAACCCACAAGTATTCTGTTGTTCTTGGTTTGTCAGCAAACATTGTAAATGTGTCTCACTACTACATGCAAAGGCATGTCCTGAAGCAGGAATTATTTCTGTTTCCAAAGGAAATTCTTCTCTCCATACGAGGGATAAAAATCTACTGATTATGTGGAGGATTCCTGAGGAATAATTGTCCTAGATTTTACTGTACTGAGCAAGATAGAACCATTATTCTCTATATACCAAGCATCTCTATGACTACATTTCCTGAAATTTTTTTAACTAAAATTTTCCATAGCAAATTATTTATGTAAATCACTGTGAGGGACCTGATTTGGAAGCCAAGGATTGGTTAGTCTCCCCTTATGCTGATCTTCATGCCCTTTCCTTGTGCATGCGTTGTGATAGTCTCGGATTACTCAGCTTTCATACAGTGACTTTCCAGAATGTTTTCTAGAATCAGTTAATTTGTAGTAACTCTTCCTGCTTTGAAGCACAGGAAGAATTTCTGAAGATTCAGTTTTGGCATTTGGATTTACCTTTGTCTTCCTGAGCTAGGTCTTGTGTGAAGTATCTTTTACTTAGCATTGATGCTTGATGTCGTTAGCCTGTGGGTAAGTACAGGTCAGTCTTACTCGTACAGGGAATTAAATGACTTCTGGTTTTAAGAGAGAGTCTGGAGTAGAGTCAGGGACTATAATCATAGTGTGTGATACAAAGCTGATGATGTCAAGCAGCAGAACTTACCCAGAGCAAGAACAATAGCATGGACACTATTTCTTCTTCCAGTGCAAATGTGACTGCTAGATTGTGCTCTGCTTGATCAAAGCCTCTGCAGATCTGCCACCACCCATCTGACCTCATAGTAAGTTTCTAGATATAGTTCTGCATTGGATGGCATGGTCTTGCATAGAAATTCTCTTGTTAATGAGAACGCTGAATGTGCTGTTTTGATGAAATGCTTTTATCAGCTATTGTTCAGTGTTTTCAGCAG